AGGAATATTGGTGACCTGGTTAGTTGGGGCACGGCTCAGATTGGAAGCCCACAGGGCCAGCTGCCCCACAGGCCACTTGGTGCCTGGCCAGGGGCTGATTCCCCAGGAGGGAGCTAGCTGGGTGCTGCCTCCCAGACTTCCCAATTCCTGGCCATTTCCAGGCCCGGCTCCTGGGCCGCTGGGCAGGAGGCGGCCAGCTCTGGGTCTGGGCCCGCTCCACACCTCGGTGTCTTCATCCCTGGTGGCCTGGATCAGAGGAAGGACGTCGCAGCGGCCAGGCTCGGGCCCCTGAAAGAGAGTTTCTTTCCACGCAGGCCTTGGCTTGGCCTGTCCTGACGTTGGAATGACTGGTTGGGTCTCACGCCTCTGTCACGGACTCCACAAATGCCCGACCCTGCCTGGTGATGCAGGACGGGTTCAGTTGCCCCAGGGGACGGAGAGACCAAGCCCTGCACCGACAGAGAGAAGAAGAGGGTCCTTCAGCGGAGAGTGTAGAAAGAATTCAACACACCGGCCAAAGCTGGAGTCCAAAGGAAAGTCTATTAGAAGAGGGATAACACTCCACAGACAGAGTGTGGTCTCCTCTCAGAGGCAGAGAGCGAGTGCGACAGTGAGAGACAGAGGAAAGACACTGGGAGGGACCCTGAGGGTTTGGGGAATTCAGTGTCCATGTCATTCTGCAGTTCCCAATGACTTTGATACAGACATGGAGTGTGAAAGGCCGGCCGGCAGGCAGTTCCCAGCCATAACGCTTGGGTTCCCCATGGTTTTAGCCCTTGGGGGAACCAGAGGCAGAGAGCGAGTGCGACAGTGAGAGACAGAGGAAAGACACTGGGAGGGACCCTGAGGGTTTGGGGAATTCAGTGTCCATGTCATTCTGCAGTTCCCAATGACTTCGATACAGACATGGAGTGTGAAAGGCCGGCCGGCAGGCAGTTCCCAGCCGTAATGCTTGGGTTCCCCATTGTTTTAGCCATTGGGGGAATGACTCTAGGTTCCTGATTCCCTTTCACAGGTGTGGGGGACGTTAGTTATCCAGTAGACATCTTCCTTTGTTCTGAAGGCATCCTCCCGGCCTGGCTGCAGGGCCGATCAGCATATTGCAGTCCCTAAATGTGGCTCATTCCCATTTTTAATCATTCTCTTGCCTCCTCCCTACATGACTGGAGCCCCTACATTTTTAATCATTCTCTTGCCTCCTCCCTACCTGACTGGACTGGACGATCACCTCCTCCCCATCCTCAGCCTGGGCCAGGCCAGAGAGGCAGGGTGTTCACACTTCAGCTTGACCCCAGGCCGCCAGAGACCCCATGAGCCGCAAGGCCCGGAGTGCTAGCTCTGGCCTCTGCCAGAGGGCTGGCCTCTCCCTGCCAATCGCCTGGGAGCCCACCCTGACCTGCTACGTTGGGGCCACTTTCCCCAGCCGACGCCAGGCTGCCATGCCGTTCTCTCTTTGCCATGATGCTGGAAGCTCCCACCTTCAGTGCAGTGGTGGGTCCAGCCACCAGTTTCCAGCCTGGCGGTGGGTGGTCCCCAGCTGGCATTGGCAACTGCAGGAGCCCTTACAACCAGGGGCTCCGGCCTCAGCCAATGACCATCCGTGAACCTCTGGTCCTTCTTCTGCTTTCCCCAGATTGGAATGGATTTTTTTCCCCTTCTTTAAATCGATATCCAGAGATGTCCAGCAAAGGACCTCTTAATAATGGGAAAGTCGTTTTGAACTGACATACGCCTCCCCGATTCGTAAGAACTTGTCCGACATGGTCGGTCAGGCTCAAGTTTGAAAAGGACAGAAACGGAGCTGGGACAGGAGACTGTGATGGAGGAGACAGCTTGTCTGCAGCCGGAAGAGTGGAGCTGAGGGGAACGCTGGCTCTTTGGGGCAGTCACAGAGGCTGGCATGCTGAATCCACGACTCCCCTTCAGGAGAGTTTTCGATACCTTCCAATGTATCGAAAACTCCACAAGTCTCTTGAGTCCAGTGGCACCGGGGTGCTATCGATGGCCTTGGCTTTGGCCTAGAACAAGGCTCCAGGAAAGACAGACAGGGCCCGACCTTTGGCCTTGAATGTCTCCCCGGCAGCTGCGCGTCCCTCCCCTCCCTCTGAAACTGGGTGGCAATTTCTACCCAGGAACCCGGTAGGAATCCAGAGCAAATCTACCCCAAGCCTTCAGGAGGTAGGCGGGCGTTTGAAACACAACTAGGTGATTCATTGTGCAAATTCTCAGACAATGGGACTGGAGACACAGCCTGCAGGGAGGGCGAAAGGTGCCGGCAGGATCCACGGAGTGCCCGCAGATGCGACCCAGGCTCGTGCCTGATGCCTGCAAACACGGGATGCCGATGCTGTCCCCGGTCACCACCGGCATCGCGGACACCCGTTTGTCCTCCATCATCATTCCATTCTACTAGATTGAGGGGGAAAGCAGGAGGGCCCTGTCAAGTAGAGGAAAGCTTCTCGACTAAACTCTTTGTGACAGGCCCTGAGAGGAGCCGGGGCCAGGCCCTCCTCCTCTGCCATCTGCGCCAGAGTCCCAGCAGTTCGTACCCTCAGGCCAACTGCGTCCCAAGGCCTGGGCTGGGCTCCACCCTCCTGAGGAGAGGAAGCTCTCGCCTGTGGCCGGATCCTGCCCCTACCGGCCCCCAGTTCAAGCTGCCCCACCCCGGGTTTGCCCACTAACCCTACCTCTGCGGTTCCCGCCCCGCCCCCGGTTCACCCCGCCCCATCATCCAGCTCGCCTGCTCCAACTTCGGGTTTGCGCACTCTCCCTGGCCCGCCGCTCGCCCGGCCCCGCCCCTGTCTCACCCCGCGGGGGGCTTGCCCCACCTTGGTTCACTCCGCCCTTTCCC